ACACTAAATGAAACTCAAAAACATTATTACAATGAGAATATTATCTAAAAACAGTTTAAAAAATCACAAATACAAAATCCGCCCAAAACAAACACATGTAAATAAACAAACATCCTACTTATAGGTGACAAATGACAGACGCGCGAAAATTAATTTGAATCGCGAATTCTACACAGTAAGTTGATGGTGTAAAGAAAACTTTTTTAGGAAAAAAGTTATTCTTCATAAAAATGGGTGCATGGTCTTACCGAAAATGCAACCACCTGATATTTTAATTTAATTTTAATATATTTTAAAATTCTGAAATTTTTAAATTTAGATTTTTTTTTATTAAGTTTCTAAGAAGAGTACATTATTTTTTTAAAAATCTGATGTGTCCAACTCATGACTTTCCTATCTAGTTATTACAGGCTTTTTCCGGTTATTTTGTACAACCTATTGCAGCACCTCTATAAATGTTTAGAGGATAAACTAAATATATACATTTTCCACATACATCTACCTCGAAACATTTTTTTTACAGATATTCATTGAAAACGAAAATACTAAAAAATTTAAATTTAGCACTTTTCCTACAATTTTTCCATTACGGTCCATTTTAGAAAAATCATGTATAAACAAAAATTATAGAGATCAATATCGCAAACAACTTTTATTTTAAAAATTTTCATAAAAATCAGAATTTTGCACATTTTATCAAATTTCTCGAATACGGACCATTTCAGGAAATTTTTACATAAAACAAAAATTATAGATAATAATATTAGAAGTAACTTTTATTTGAACAATTTTTTTCTCCAAACATTAATAACATATATTCCATAAAATATAAAAACGGCCTCCCATAAAGTACCCCGCCAGATGTTCCGACTTTGCCCAAAATCTAATCATTTCACGTCAGGCCGAAATAAAACTTAAGTTTAAAATTTAATGTTTTTTTCTTTATCCGTTTTTGAGTTTTTTTCAAATTTCGAAATTTACACATTTTCTCAAATATCTCGAATACGGTCCATTTTAGAGAAATTATGTATAGGACAAAAATTATAAAGAATTATATTACAAACAACTTTTGTAGAAACAATTTTTATAAAAAAATATTTTTTTACATTTTGTCAAATTTCTCGAATACGGACCATTTTAGGAAAATTTTGTAAAGAACAAAAATTATAGATAATATAAGAAGTAACTTTTATTTAAATAATTTTCTTCACCAAACGTAAATAACAGATATATTCCATAAAATATAAAAATGACCACCTATAAAGTACCCCCCAGATGTTCCGACTCTGCCCAAAATCTAATCAGCTCATTGGACGCTGGAACAAAGCTTAAGTTTAAAATTTGGTGTTTTTCTGTGTATCGGTTCATGAGTTATGCGACACACAGACATCATCGCGAAAATAGTCAAAACGGATTCAGGGGACCTCAAAACGTAAAAATCCGTCGAAAACTCGAGGTCGAAAAAAATCATGATTCCTATACTTTTCTTATATCTGTATACAGATAGGAAAGTAAAAAACATCAAAAAATTTAAAATTGTATGTGTGTATGTAAAATGTAAAATTTATAGTCCGTCAGATAGTGACAGGTTTAGATGCCCCATTTTCGCATAAAAGCCTCAAAGAGGGTTGAAAAGTACATCGATTTTAAGTAGAATGAAAGGAAATTTACAAATGGTTGCTGGGGATAACACATGGAAAATTCGATTTTCCCTAATAAAAACGGAAGGTTATTTGTTGCCCATTTTTCCACGCAAGCCGTTTTCACTATATGATTAATAATTAGAACTAGGCTTCGGAAAACCAAAGGCTTTAATTTTGCAAGTGGCTAAAGGCTTGAAATAAGAGCGTAATCTTCTAAGGAAAAATCGAGTTTTGCCCGATTTTTCCACACGAGCCCATCGAATGTATGAAAACGTACGTCGTCACTAATCCGAAAAACATATTTTCTAGAATGACCCGAACGTATAAGTGCATTTTGGGGTCGGAAAATTTTTCTGATAAGGAAAATCGAATTTTCCATGTGTTATCCCCAAGAGTCACTCGTAAATTTTCTTTTATTCTACTCAAATCGATGTACTTTTCAACCCTCTTCGAGGCTTGTATGCGAAAATGGGGCACCTAAATCGGTCACTATCTGACGATCTATTAAGAGGGATGCGGTATTACGTACTAATGCTGTACGTAGGATTACCAGACATCCGTATTTGCCCGGACATGGGACCCTTGGGCTGATAGAAGGTTCTATCATCCTGTCTTCCTCCATTTCCCGAACAATCCTTTCAGCTTCCTCTCTCTTGGCCTTTGGTAATCTTCGAGCTGATTGGCCAATCCGCTTGGCGTCACTAGTGTCAATTTTGTGTTTCATAACGGATGTTCTTCCTGTTTTTCCTCCCTTTGGTACAGAAAGTCACGATATCGTCGAAGAAATTCCTTCATTTTCTTTTTCTCTAATTGATTCAGTGATTGACCATCAGTTGCAATTATTTGCTCGACTTTGTTGTTGGAATTGCCAAAAGTTGTTATCTGATGAATTATGGATGTTACTGGTACAGAAGTTTCGATTCTGGTCTCTTTCTTGATGGTAATTGGGTGATCATTAACGTTTATGAGACGGACTGGAATTTCTTTAGCAGTCGTAACCAACCCCTTTCCGATCAGAATACCTCGTCCAATTTCTTCATCGTGGTTCCAAGGTTTCATCATGACATATTTTCCATCTTCCATAGTTTCTTAAAGTCATGCTACTATAATGGTTTCACTTCTACCAAGTATCACCATGTCTTCCTGTACAGCTACAGTCACGGTACTGTCCCCATATGGATGTAGGAATATCTCTTCGGCACCACCTTTGATCACTCTGTTGTTAAAGTCTTACTGGAAACCATGTAAATTCATTACATGCATTCCAAGTATAACATCTTCGATATCAGCGACAATAACAGTATGAGTGAACTTTTATGTACCAATTCCCAATTAAACCTGGATTTCCCCATGGATGTTGGCACTTTCACCTGTGGCAGTCCGCAGTCGCAATCTTGTTGGCAGAAGTTTCTTACGGTTATTTATGGTTCTTGGTCGTATAATGGTCCTAGTTGCTCCAGCATCCACCAACAGTGTATATTTTTTACCATTTACTTCGCTGTCTACGTATACACTATCATCGCGACATTTCAAAGAAGCTATCAGTATGAGAGGGTCTTTGGAATGGTTTCGGGTCGAAGCTGCCCCCTCGAGGCCGACCTTCGGCGTGTTGTCTTCATTTGTTGGGACCCTAAGGCGTTTGCACGAATTGCATACATGTCCCAGTTCACCGCAATTCCAGCACCTGATAGTCTTCGTTTTTATCTTTTTGTCAGCAGAGGTCTTCATTGTTAACTAGTTGGTCGAGTTTATTTTCCACGTTTTTTTCTTTTACAGTCCTCACTTTACTGTTTCCTCCAGAAGCCTGCGTAGCTGCCTAATACTCTAGAGCAGCGGATAAGACATCGACCAATATTTGTGACGGGATAAGCGTAGTGTTTTCTGCATCTCGTGGTCACTGAGTCTATCAACAAATGTTTGGACTGCCAAACATTCCATCATGTTTTCGGGAGTAGTCTGAAGGACATCTAAAGCATCTTCTCGAAGGGCGATGGTCAAATATACTGCCTTCTCCCTTTTAGATCATTCGTTCGCTCTCGCAGTTGTTTCGAACTGTTTAAGGTAGTTGGTCCATGACATTTTTCCGTCGAAAGTTGGGGCTTTAACACGAGCAATTTCAACTTTGACTCCACCTCATGACACTTTATTTCACTGTCTTTGGACTGTTCTGTGTGTTTCAGTTCTTTTATCTTCTTTTCCATCTGTTTTATTTTCTCCTCTACAGAAGACATCTTGTTTTCAACATCAACAGAAAGTTAATTTTTTAAAGAAGAGATTTTGTTTTCTAAATCGGAAGAAATTTCGTTTTTCATAGAAGACATTTCAGAAGACACCTTTTCTTCTAAGGAAGAAATATCAGTTTTTATAGACGAAACTGTACTTTCTAAGAAACTTTAATTTCAAATGAAGAAATGTTAGAAGAAATATCGATTTTTAAAGAACGCTTATCGTTTTTCATATCGGCAATTGAAGTATAAAAGACCCATCATCCGAAAATAGATACGTTTCCGTATCTAAACTTTCATTTTCGAGTGGTTTTTTAAGTCGTTCTACCAGCTCTGATTTCTTCCCTGTCGTCTCCAGTTCACGTTCTTCTAATTCTCGACGCAATTCAGACACTTTTAAATCACACAATTTTTTAGCCATTTTTGTCCACTATTTATTTACAGTTCTACTTCTAACACCAATGTAATGTTTGTTTAATTTATTTATAGTTTAGTTATTTAAAACGCTTTCTTTATAATGTACTAATTAATTTATTTATTACAATTTGTCTTTACTATCCAACACTTAATTTAAAACTTGTCTGTCGACAAGTCGCGCTATTTATATAGAAATATAACATTCTCGAAAAAAGCAACTCTGACTAGACGCTCAGTCTAGAAGTTCCGGGAATTATTCTCCACGTGTCAGACTGCGATGGAAAACATTCGATTCTGTTTCTCGAGTCTCGCGATGGATCTCGATGTGGCCAGCGCTATACTTCCTGTCGCAGGTACGCTAATAAACAAAGAACAGGGTTGGCTTCGCGTCACATTAGTTAGGGAACAAAATTATTTTCAAATATTATACTACGTATTACCGAAACATTTAGATTAGACTCAAATTAATTAGAATAAGTAACAAAATTTTATGAGGAAATATTTATTGTAATCTAATTTAAAAAAAAAATCGTTCTAAGTTACGAATAATTAAAGAAATCATTATAATTGATAAATCTTGGTTTTAAAGAATCAGAGACACATTAAATATAGGTTATTTAGAACCACTTCGTTGTCCCCTATCTACCGCCAACGTATGCGCATTTTCCAATGAATCACGCTGTATAATGACAACGAATTTGTTTTTATTTGTTAGTTCCTGAGGTAGGACGCTGGTCAGCAGAAACAGGTTCCGATAACGAATTCTACCAAAAAAATGGATCTCCAAACCCCCTTCCCCATCCAGATGTTACTCCAGAAACAAGTGTGCCAGCTCTGCAATCTGAGCAATACATGGTGCGAACTCATTACAATAATTACAACCCCAAGACTCTCGCCTATAAAGGTGATTATTTGCCTAAGGTTATGCCTCATGATAATATGAATTATCCTGATTATGGAGATAGGGCATCCGATAATGAGGATAAGCAGCATATCAATGATAAATATCATTTCCCTTATACAGGTAATTATTTTTTCTAACATAAAATTAGATTTTCTGATCTTTAAAAACTAAGGCAAGAGTTATGCTACTATGAATAGTTGGTGAATTTTATTGTTGAGCCGAAAAGCTTACCATACCTGAGGCGGTATTCCAGTGATATATACTATTTTTTCTTCAAGCCACAAAATTAAACTAATATAATGTTAACAGGTCAGTGGTTACACCAGATTAAACAAAAAAATGGCAACTTTAAATTTGAAAAATTATTTCAGGTTTATCAATTTTTTTTTTTTTTAATAGAACACAACATCATACTAATAAACCATTTTATTTAGTAAGTATTATAGTTATAATTAACAAAACAAATTTTAATTCTTAGTCAAAAAATGTTGTAGTTTATATTAGACGCGTTATTAAGGAATTCATCAAACTAAGAAGAAACTATTGTTCAAGTCACAATAATTGTCCACTGGGTTTAGTGGTAATTCTATAACTAATATTTTTAACGGGTGTTAACTTTTACAATTTAAACATAAATTATTATTCTGTAACTAAGAACTTAACGTACCTGTGTTAAATTTTATAAAGGTTCATATTTATAATATATGAAGTAAATGTTTCTAAACTAGGCCTTATTCATATTTTTAAATGGCAGTTTGGATTTACTTTTGTGTCCATGAGTAGTTATGACCGACAAAGACAGAGATACGAGTCATGTCCTATTTTAGAAACATTCTTTTGTGGATCACTTGTTAAATTATCCTTGGCTGAGTTAGTTAAGCCATAACTTCTGTTCTACACATAATTTCAGTGTTTTGATCGGCTTGAAGAAAAATATAGTTTTTCAACTTTAATAACCTTTCAAAGATACATGTATATTCCATATATTCTAAATAATAATCTTATATCTTTAATTATATAGATACATATCAATAGTCTCTCATCGGACTCAAAAAGTGACACGTCGTCTTTTTGCTTCATATTTGCAGTTTGGTAGAGATGAGGGGGTGAACAACATGTACAATATCTGATTAAGGACACTTAGCAGATGTATCTCAGAAGCTATTTATCCTACGCCTTTGAAAATAAAAAATTATAACAAAGTCGGTCAAGAGAAAATACTGGAAATTATTTTCAACTTTCTATTTTAACCGTTAGAGGACGTAATTCGCTATGGTAATGCAAAAAATCACTTTTACCCTTTAAATGACCAATAATAGTATGATAATAAAAGAACGGTAATTTTGAAAAAAATTTACAAATGTTTTATCTAACACTATTTGCTCTATTCAATAAAATAACTATTAGGGGCGATTGGGAACCTTAATTTAATAAAACTATGATAACAACGGTGTCATTTATCAGACTTTGAAAGATTAAAAGTAAATTAGACATTCCAAACAAAATGGCTACCAGTGGGACAGGTTATAATATGGCAATATTATGACAACCCTGTAGGCGATTTGATAGAGTCATTGAAATATAGATTAATCATTCATGTTTTTAAAAATATACATAAGCTTATATGCCTAAAAATGTAGGTAATTATTTTTTTACTACATTCAATGGCTGTAAATTGGTTTGTATACACATTTTTACTAAAGCGATTCTGATTAATGAGCACTTGCGATTTGTATCATTGACCCTGCAATGACAACAGGCCCACAGTGTTGCTATATCTAACTGTCAGTTCCCACGTATCAGCATTTTAGCAGGTCGTTGGAATGCCTAATTGGTTATTTAGTAAAATATTTCAATATAGTTCTGATTCAGTTGTTTAAACGAGCACTAGTTGGCGTTGTTTAAACATTTTAAATGGAATTTAGAAAGAAAATTAAATTCTGATCGTGTCTTATCTTTTTCCTAACGGAATATAAGCAAAAGTCTATAATGGTGGATATTCGACCTAGATATTAATAACTAAAATTCTTTATATATTAATCTAATTGGCATTGATATGTCAGTAATTTTTCGATAACCTAGCTGTAGTGATTGACACAAAAAATTATTAAAATCCGATTTTAATTAAGTACCTCTTTAATTTAAAATTACTGGTTTAATGAAACTAATTGCGAAATAAAAATTGAATATATTACAACAAAACAACTAAAAACAACAAAATTGAAAAGAAAATAGTAATAGAGTAAGTAGACAAGATATAATTCAACGAAAACAAAATGCAATACAAGAATTAGAGGTAGTGCTCGAATTGTTTTCCATCTTTATCAAAGCAAATATTAAGTGTCTAGTTGAATTGGCAGCAGCTTCTATTTCAACCCTAGGAATATGATTGATTGCAGTTACAAGCCGAGTTTGGTAAACTAAATCTTTAAGTCGACCCCACAAATAATATCTAATACGGTGAGGTCGGGAGATCTTGGTGGCCATTGAAATAGACTACCTCTGCCAATCCACCTATTCCGAAAACGTTAATTTAAAAAGTCTTTTACGTCAATTGTATAATGTGCTGTACAGCCATCCTGTTGTATCCACATAATACGACACACCTTGTAATAAAACAGGCAAGTCTCTCGGTAATCTTAAATATCGCTCACCATTTAAATTTTCATTAAAAGTAATAGGACCTATAATTTTACCATCTAAAATTCCACACCACACATTTACTGAAAATTGTGAATTCTCATTAGGCATATTCTTAAGCCAATTACAATAATCCAGAGACGATGTTGTTGTAAAATAGAACAAATGCAGTACCTAGTGCCAGATTTTTAAATGTTTTCTTGACTATCGTATTCTGGGGATATATCAATGCATATTCTCTTGAGGCAATCGAGACAATCTAAAAACATTTTTTTTAAGCTGTGTGATAAATAATTTCCAAGATACAGCCGCTAAGAGTCCTATACTATGCCCCGGTGGTGGTCACATGATAGTGACCTGTGAATTTTAAAGTAAAGTTGCTTATCGATTAATTTTTGACTTTTTTGCTGACAATGAAATATATGCTTTTAGACGTCAATTGATAATAAAAAAATCTCTTTGCAAGCATTTTCTGTTTTCTGATTTTGTTACTTCCGGGAGTAGGGATTTCGGGCACGTAGCCAGATACTTACCTTTTTCATGTTGTTCACCACGCTTCACTGTACCCAAGTACAAATAGAAGGTAAAAAAGACGACGTTCCACTTTTTAAAGTCAGATGAGAAACTTAGAGGTGCCTATAAGTTCTATTTGGTATATTTGTAGCAAACAACTTTCAGACATTAAACACATGTCAATTGGGCATGAATAAAATGAATGATATTTGATGTAACGTGTATCATGGTTGAACTTAGGTAATTATATTTTTAAAATTTTAATTATTCAATTTGCATATAAAAATCAAACAAAATCTAAAACTAAAACTTGACACACACATTCTTTCTTTTGGACTTATCTTAGTTAAAAATTTGCGATTTTTGACGCCTGTGAATCGTCCTGGTTTTTTTGAAAAATATCGCACAATGCACACTGGAACTTTTTTGTGTTTTTTTTATTTCATAATATAAAATTACTACATACTAAGAGATCCACCACCTCCTTGGGTCGTTTTCTGTTTTTGGGTGTAACATCAATATGCTTAATTGAAATTTGTACACTGCGTACTTAACTTATTCAATATTTATTTTTAAGGTTAAAATGCTTTGTATTTTTCACAACAGGCGATAATGAGAGAATTGGTAAAAGGAGAATGGTTAAAGATTATAAACTGACATTTATTTGGGTTCACACTATTTATACATTTGCTTTAGTTTAGTTTGAGGGCACTATTGCGATTATCGACTATTTTTTGTGGGTTTTTAGCATGAGATATAATAATCAGGATGTCCCGTTAGTGCGTAATTGCTCGATAAATCAATTTGTGTTACAGACGCACAAAGAAGTTTCAAATAAAATTTATATGGATTTGAAAAAAGAACCTTTTAAAAATATTTCTCGATATACTTTTTTGCCTGGCAAATAAAAATATTTTTTAATTTGAACAACCTGTATTCTATTTCAGTTTTAGACTGGTCTGGTAATACTGCATTCACCCAATATTGTTAAAAAATATTACAGGGTTGCCAAACATTAGATTTTTTAGTGAAATTCGAGAATGATGCAGATCCCAAATAAAATTATCATAATTTAGGTAGGGTAACAAAGATTTCAAAATCGTAAAAAAACAGACCTAAAAGTTATAAGATATAAGCCTAACGAATAATGATAATAGAACTGCTTCATTTTATACAGAGTGTTTTGAAACATTTTAAGTTCAATTTACTCGAGTTTATCAAATGCAATACCTTGTATATTAAGCTATTGCATAGCTTTTATCGCGGGCTTTGAGCGCGGCGAACGAATCAAGAAATTCCGTAACGAAAAAAGACCTAACACCCCCCACTCCGACCGGCACAGCGGTGCGGCGTTAAACAATTTTAACTTCTCATTTATTCAATAAAAGAAAATCGAAAAATCGAAAAATCGAAAAATCGAAAAATCGAAAAAATCAAAAAATCGAAACATCGAAACATCGAAAAATCAAAAAACCGAAAAATCAAAAAATCACAAAAATCGAAAAAGAAATTCCGTAACGAAAATAAACCTAACACCCTCCACTCCGACAGACACAGCGGTGCGGCGTTGAAAGCCGTGCATCGTCTAACGTCGTTTCAGTTCGGCAGACTTCGGCACGGTGTTTGTGTGCGTGCGACTAGACGTATGCGTGTAGACTAGCTGCTAACTGCTCATAACTGATTCTACCTCTTTTAGACATAATTTCAGAAAAATTGAATTTGAAAATGAATAATGATCCACAAGAATCCACTACAAAATATTTTAAACAATATTAACTTCTCATTTATTCAATAAAAGAAAAAAAATGTTTTCGTATCGGTCACCACGCTCAAAAAGTGTAACTTGAATTAATATCAAAGAAAAAACTTGAATTAATATCAAAAAAAAAATACTGCATAAATAAAATAAATAAATAATTATAATTGCATAAGTTGATAAAAAATGCTATGCAATAGCTTTACCGCGG